AGGAGCTCTTGCATCACCTCGCACAAAAACCAGCGTGAAGTTTGTTGAAAAATGAAATTGGAGGAGTGTTTGAAGAAAAAAAAAAAAATGTCGAGAACATAAAAATAACGTATCTTGAAATATCGAAATGGCTTTTTTGATGCGAGGTGGTGCAGTAGTTTTTGAAGGGATTTTCTGTCAGCTGTTGCCTTTGAGAATTGTTTTGAGACCAAAACCATTTAAAAGGTAACCTCTTTAATTTTTTCTCAAAAAAGTTGTAAGGGGAAACGCTGTGCAAATTTTTTCAAATTTTCCCGCCAAAAGTCTTAGTTTTTATACGCAAACTTTTTCCTTCACACGTTTTAATTTATATACTCTTATTAATTAGTAATTGATCAATTACTTATTTGATGCAAGACCATAAAATTAAATGAAAACAGGTGGTGATTATTGTGTACATTATTTGAGCATTGTTAAACAATATCAAAGTCAATAAAAATACTACAGCAATGAAAGTCAATTACACACGCGTCTTCAATGTAACTTTTATTGCTTTTATAACTAACTCAATTAAAATTCAATACAAACAATTTCAACAAGTAAACCAAATTTAAAAAAAAATGCGGTTTTAAAAGGGCCTGGAAACTAGTCAAAATGTAGGCTCTCTTTTACTAGTTTTTGACTATGTAGGGTTGCCAAAAAGAAAAAAATTCTGCGCCTTTAAACAGAGTCTAGCCAGAAATCAAGCATATACTGTGACGTTTGATGGGAAAAATCCTACGCAGCGCTAGATTTTCTCCACCAAGACTCTGTATATGTTCGACTCAAAACCAGACACCATTTAAAATTGCAGACTTTTTTTTCTAAGTACAATTTTTCCACTTTTCGATTTTTTTCTTGGCCCTCTTAAAAGCGAAACCTTTTTATCACTTTAATGCGTTCTCGAAAACTGGAAAGATGTCGCTAAATTTGTGAACTAGACTACTAGACTCTTAGCTATTTCAACGAGTTTAATACAAGGACTTCCAGACTGAAAATCGGGTTGCAAAAACAAGCCCAGGTAATACTAACATTCTACCCTAATTTCAAGCCACAAACTTGAAATATAGTTTACAACTTACTCGAAAACTAACAACGTACGAGGCAATTTGGCAGATAATAGACAATTTGAAAATTTTGTGTTGTGAAATCACTAATACGAGCTCCGTCCTAACAATCTTTCGCAAGAAACTCAATCGAGATCAACTTTGTCTTGTAAAATCTAAAAGAAGTTCGTTGCTTTCCTTTGCTTCTTTCTCCATATTAATGTCACTGCGTGTACACTTGAGATGCAGCCTGAAAGAAAGAGAAATAAACGTCCAATTAACAATGGCTATACTGAAACCCAAAGAACAAAAAAAAAAAAAGTTCACGGCAAAAAATAATGTCCGCGACAAAACGGGCAATATTTGCATTTTTTTAAGAGGAAGAATTTATGCGTGGTTAATATTCGCCAATCTTAAAATAACTAGTGAATTTTTTTAAAAAATAATACGCTCTCGGGTAGCTTCACATTTGTACAATAGTAAATAAAGGTAATGTAATTTGCAGGACGGTTATTAGCAAATAAAAACAGAAATAGTAAAATATTTAGACAAGCGAATAACAAAAAAGCTGCTTCCAAATTCAAAACTGTTGTTCAAATACAATACTAGATGTAGTTATGTAAGTGAACAATAGATTTTACAGTACTTTACAGTTAATTATGGTTTTCTCTTGTTCACCTTTGATCTGACAACCTGGCAGCTATAGCTAGTTTTGACAGAACGGTTTGTATGAAACTACGACTGAAAACGACTTTCACTTTGACCGCTATTTCAAAAACATTTCCCAGGAGCATCTGAGATCCCAGAGGGAAATTCACACAACGGTAGAAATCCGAAAAGGTCATGGCAAAAGATAAATGAATAACTCCGTGATTTCAACACAGTTATGAAGCATGTCTCTTCCACTACAGTTTTAGCATATGACCAGACTGACTTTTGTAACCAAGAAAGTTATTTCACGTGCACTTTCAAAACATATGCAGTACTATCACGTGACGCTGTTATTATGCTTTACAAGGTCATTCTAGCTTTAAAATCTATGGATAAGATCCCTATGTTTGTCCTCTCATATTTAATCTATGCAGTATTTTCATACACCTTTTACCGCAAAAAAAAAACTTTTAGGTACATTGTTTACTTTGGCACCCTTGAAATGAAATCAACAAGGACTTCACCGCTTCATTTCCGGGTTGTCTGGTTTTCTTTGCTGTAAATGTTTCAGGGTTTGGTCTGAGAATTTAGTGATAAATCAAGACAATACCCTACAGTATATAGCCTTCCTTCTCATTGCTTAGTCCTTAAATGCAGAGTCCTTAAATGCAGAGTCCTTAGTCAATTCTTTTTTTAGGTAACTCTCTAAATCTTCTTTACTGTTTCTTCATGATTAGATTGAGATTGTCAGGAGAATCTTAAGCTGATCACTCATGAGGTTTAATGGCAAAGGAAGCATTGATTCATGAACTAAAAAGCAATTGGCCAATGATCCAATTAGGCCCCTCGTCTCACAGTTTGAATATTCATCAACAACAGTACTTCGGGCATTGTATTCTTAAGGAATGCTTGTATAACCACACCCTGAAGAGCTAGGGTATCTGGTTAGCTATGTAACAAGGGTTTCTTGCGATAATCTGGACAGTGAAACAATAACATCTCTATTCATTTAAATTCTTTGGCTGTATTGTGTACAACAGTAAAAATCTCTTCCTTTAAAAAAAAAATAAAAATATTGCGCCTCATCCAATAAGGAATCCAATGTCTCAATTTGATTCTTTTTCCAGTTGAGTCCCAGCACAGCTTTTGTTTTTTCTCAGTTTTGTATCTAGTAAGAATCAGAAATGTTTCAACCTGAATGACGTCCTATATATCATAATTTCACAACTAAGAATAAACCATCACGTTTTTTCTATTTCAATCCTGCCAGGGCAAGGTTTGACAATGAAGGTAAGGTTAAGTCTGCATCAGTGTGTTTTAGTGTAAAGCAGCAGATGTGTTGTAAAGTATAAGCAAACATAATAAAATAAATAAATAAATAAATAAATAATAATAATAATAATAATAATAATAATACTCGATATTTAAACAGGGTGACCCCTTCAGTCGCAGGACCGGTATCAACGGGGGCCCTGTATAACGTAAAATAAAAAAAAGCATGTATAAATAATATATATCTATAAAAAACTAACTACTTTAATAGATACGCTGAAATGTAATAATAATAATTAAAAAACACAGTCTGCACCAGGCCATGTGATCCAAAATACCACAGCTTATCCAGGTCTGGTTACGGAACAGATGATGTTTCTACTTTTTGGGAGGTCGAACCAGAAACTTTGTACCATATCCTTTACCAATGCCCTTACTCAAGGCAATTTTGGAACAATTTTGAATCTTATTGGTACCTTTTATCAAATCGACAGGTTCGTCTTCCTTTGCAGAATGTTATATTTGGTATAATATTTAAGCAATGCCCTTCAACTAAATTACTAAATTACTTTATTGTTGGAAAGCTGTTTTTTGTGGGACTGCAGAAGAAACCAAATACATCCTAAAATTAAAGGTTATCAAAACAAAATAGCAAAAAAATATGAAACTCAACGTAAAATAAATAAGGATTATTTTGAAAAAAAAAAAAATGGATATGTAGCCCTGGCCAGAAATCAAATCAATATGTAGATAGCTCAAATTCGTAAGTAGCTAAAGAAATAATTTAGATTGATTTGCTCTTTGTAATCAAGAAGTTAATCATTCATTTGTTTGTGTCCTTTGTTCTTGTTGTCTTTTCTTGTATAGTTTTCGTGTTTGTCATTTATAGTATAACATACATGTAAGCTACTGATGTAAACTTAATAGCCATTTATTAATTTTTAGCCTAGTGTTTTACAAACTAATGTAAGCCGAAAATTGATGGAAAAAAAAAAAGTCTCTGTTGTCTTATTATTCCATTTGGATGAGATGCTATTAGCACCCCGACAATTAAATTCGCCCAGAACCCATTTGTACACCTTGGTGGAGGGAGTTACTGTAGCATGGGAGTAAATTGTCTTGCCTAAGAACACAATTTGCATGCAGAGACCCTGACCATTTGCTCAAACCCAGACTGCTTGATGTACAGACCACTTCACTAACCATCAGACCACTGTGCACCTCCTCCCACAGAAAAATGCTCCTCAACAACAGTACCCCAGACATTGCAGTCTTGAGGATTTTTGCACACCCTATCCTTGAAGGGCTAAGATAAATGGCCACATAACAATTAACAGTTTGCTGAAATGGCTGAAAAGTTGTGTATTTGTTTTAACTTTTTGCCTGCATTGTGCACAATATTATCATTATTATCATTATTATTTTTAATTATTATTATTATTATTATTATTATTATATTACAATAAGTCATCAGATTTATAAAGTTTTAACCCTACTAGGATGAGTTTGGACTTAGGCTATGAGTAGTTCCTCTTTCGCTTAGTCCATCGAGCAAGACCATAAATACAACTGTAAACCACAAGGAAAAAATGGCCGTGTGAAATCCTGGGGAATGCTTCTCGCCTCCAGGAGTTCACGCAACCATTTTTTTCTTGCAGTTTTCTTTTGAGTCACACATGACAGATTAAGCAAAAGATGGACCACTCGTAGTCTAGTTTGGACTATGAAGGTAACATTAAGTCTGTATCAGGCCAAGTGATCCAGGCCACCACAGCTTAACCCAGTCTCTGTTGCATTAAGTGATGTTGAATACATGTAGTTCTACTTCCCCTGAATGGGATGATAGTCTGTCTGTTTCACAGAACCACACAATCCTATGGGGGCAAGGTTTGACAATGATGGCCTGGGATGAGTTGATGCAAGTCTGTTGCAGGGTTAGCACTAATGCAGTATTAAATTTACCCAGTACCTGTTTGCACACCTAGGTGGAGAGAGAGTGTGAGAGTAAAGACTTTCTAGCCCAAGAACACAACAGAGACCCTAACCATTAGCTCTACCCAAGACCTCGTGATCTACAGTCCATGCAGTGTGCTTAACAGCTATTAGATTTCTGTGTCCCTCCACTCTCAAAACAATACAATGGTATCCCTGGCATCAGAGTTTTAAGGAATTTTGAAGGTTTAAAGTGCAGTATGGTCACATGCCTAACCCAAACCCTTCCTTTAAAAGAAAATTATGACTCACTTTTCAAGGGATCCAATGTCCCAATTGATTCTTTGTCCTCTTGAGTCTCAGCACATACTGTACTTTCATTGTTGCTTCCCTATTTTGTATCTAGTAAGAAACAGGAAATGTTTTAACCATAAGTTTATGACAGCCTTAATGTCTTAAGGTTTACAAACTACACAAAACTAAGTCATCAGATATTTTAAAAAAGGGTTTCAGCCCTACTTAAAGGAGAAGTTTACAAATGAAGGTAAGGTAGAATCTGTGTCAGACCAAGTGATCCAAAACGCCACAGCTTATGTGGGTTTTGCAAGCATTCAGTGAAAAAGTATTATAATTTTATCCCCTTCCCCCACCCCCTTGGTGGAATGCTTGTCTGTTGCGGGTTTAGCCCCCAGCATTGAATTCACCAAGTACCAATGGTACACCTAGGTGTTGATAGGCACTGTGAGAGTCAAGTGCCTTGCACAAGAACAAACCAAAGACTGCTTGATGGGCAGTCCAGTACACCAACCATTAGACCACTGACACTGTCCCTTTAATTTCCACAATAACAAATTATAACTAAAAATGATTAAGGAACTACGGATGCATACAGTGGAAAGAAATTGGTCCCTCCTCCCACAAATGAGTACTCATCAACAACTGTACCCCAGGGATGGCTAGGTAATCTCCTCACAAAAAAGTAACAATAGATTCTTGAAATAGCACCAATGAAACAACATTGAACAACACTTAAACAACTACTTGTCATCTCTAGTGCAGGTACAGTAAGCACTCCAATCATTCCATTCCATTCCACTCCATACACCATTAACACTGGCGGATAAGCTGCACTCACGGATAAGCCACACCCTGAGTTTGGCAACTCAAATTTTGGAAAAAAGTTTTTGGAAAGAAATCAAAACAATTCACAAGTGGAGGCTGCTTGAGATGGGTCTTTACATGTAAGCTTGATTTATTGAACGCAAACCCAAGTAAATGCACTAACATTGAAAACAGAGAAGACTTGAAACTGAAACCCTTAACTACAATTTTAGTTCTACAATAGTATAGACTTGATGTCTACCGACTTTTACATATGTTTGATCTTTTTCTGGTATATTGCAACCAGTATGTTTTCATTCCTGTCAGTTTTTCAATAAAATTTTACGTACAACAACAAGAACATTTTCATTCATGCATTGGTAGCTTAGTAGCCAGAAATTTCACCAGGAGATGGAGTACTGGGCACAAGTAGCTTTTGAGAAGCTTTCTTTGATCACAGCTCAGTGTGACAATGTTGCCACAATGTAAATACCTTTGTGGTGGACTAGAGATTCCCAGGGCTCTGAGCAACATAATGTAGGCTGCTTAAGAATGGCTACCATAAACAGGTTAAAAGAATTTTTAACAAAGGTTTACTGCTGTTTTAGTCTCAGCACATAGACTACTTTATTGTTGCATCTCTGTTTTCTATCAGGTAAAAAATAGGAAAGGTTTGAAGAGCACTGAAGAACTGCAAAGATGAAACAAGAGGCTGCAGTGTGGAGATGAATGGTAGAACAACAGGACAGGGATGCAGATAGCAAACAGTACCCGAAAGGTTCCCCCATTAATCATAACAATTACAATTTCCTCAAATATGATTGGTGCATAAACTGCTGTATTTTGCTCTAATTAATCTGAAAAGTTGTAATTGGTCAGTGTAATCGGACAGTTGGCTGTAATCGGACACCTGTAATCGGACAGTTACATGAGCCAGTCATTTTAAGTCCTCTCCACTAAATCCACCAATCACAGCATTGATTACAATCACTATAGTAACCAAGAGACTGACTTTGTAAAACTTTGGAGGTTTAGTCTCTGATGACTGTTTTGAAAGAAACTTAACTGCCATTTTGCAAGCTATTAATATGATATTTAAAATGACTATTAAAAGCTCTTTTTTCAAATGAAACTTTTTGTTTTGTGGGAAATTGTAATGGTTATGCTATTATTTTGTACTTAACCTTGTTAAGATAAAACTTGTTACAGTTTAAATGGCTGCTTTAATAGCTGTTGTTATAATTATCACTTACACTAAACCCAACAATCAGTTTCCATGTTGATATCATATTGTCCTGTCTTGAAACTCTAGGCTCCTTTCTTCTTGATGTGTATCATGCTGTGGAAACAAACAAGGTACATGTATGAGGCCAGACTCTTATAGTAATATACAACATTACAAACATTTATTATATGGCTCTGTCTCACAAGGATTGGGAACTACCAAATTCATGAATTTGATTGGTTGAAAAAGAAATTGAAAGCAGTCTAGATTTTCCCACATAGACCTACATCTAGACCGGTAATGTTTTGCAGCGAAAAAGGTACAAACTAAAATGCAAAATCATTGACTATTTTCATCTAACATATTTATGGAAGTGCCAAAAAGCCTGATGAGAAAAAAAAGTAGAGTATGAGCAAACTTTGGCACAATTAAATTCAGCTCGTTGCCGTTCATGAGCAAAATGTCAGTTACCTACAAACCAGTTACATTGAACCAATTAAATTGTTCTTGTTTGCACCATATAATAAACATCTTATTATTAATTATTAACCGAGCTTAGTCGGTCTGTAGGGGAGAATCTTGACCTCGGTTGTGTGCACAGACCTCACTGCGTTCGGTCTGTACTCATGACCTCCATCAAGATTCTCCCATACAGACCTCCTGCTCAGTTATTAAGAGTTAACCATTGTGCATTTATAATTGAAGTCTGTCAGTGACTATATGTACAAATGTTCATGTTGAACTCTACCATAGTGCTCAGTTTTGTACATGTATCCTACACCCTGAATGTGCATGTGTCACTGACCGATCAAAATTCAGAAATTATTTTGATCATTGTAGCTATAACAAAATTCATCATTCATTCATTATTTGGTTGTCCAGTTGCAGGTTTCCAGTCACAACTAAATTTTGTAATTGGATCCCCATGATTGGATATTATCACTCACATGTGCTTAATCGGCTTTCTTCTTAATGTTTCCTAGAAGAAGTTCTTTAAAGACTTTTTTAATCTTGAAATTTGTTAATGATGGGTTTATTAGTAATCAACCTCGTTTGATTTCAAATAACTCACACAATTACATGCTAAATTCTTGTGCTCCACTCAGTCCGATTACATATGGGTTATAGACTAAGGGTTAGGTCAAGATGGCTGGATATTGGTCAAGTTCTTTTCAGTATGTTTATTTGACCAAAAGACTAAAGGTCCATAAACGGCAAAAAAAAAAAAAAAAGAAAAGAAAAAAGAACCATGCCAATATTCAGCCATCTTGTCCGAACAAGCTTGGTCAATATAGGAATTATGGGATAAACAAATTTTTCTTGTGGGACACAGCACATAATCCAAAATGACAAGAAAGCACCATCTTACCTGCTGGGGTAGCCAATCACAGGGTAGGATTTGGTAAACCTTGCCTGCTCAGGGAGCCACATGTAACCATATACTGTAATAACAATATTAACATAATGAGCGGCTAAAACCAGACTTGCATTCAGGGATTTGTAATAATTTGATTCGAAGGATAACATTAACAATTTACAGGAGGTTTCATGAGGGGCCAGGTACTGGGCAAATTGACCGGCTGTGAGGATGATTTTGCTTGCCTGGTTTAACCATCTACAAATTATTGTAGAGGAAAGTTTTTCTTGTAAGAGGGTGGCAATGGGGATTAACTGTTTAGCGCATAATGACGGTTTTTTTTAGCCATTGTAACTGTAAACAAGAAAGGATTCGAATGAAACGAGATGCATCTCAAGAGAATCAAGATGCATTCTGGGAGATGGTGGTAACTTTCTTTTGGTCAGTATTGTAAACAACAAGATATAAACTGATTATAATAATAATCATAATAATGATTATTGCATTAAAGATGATCGACTGTGTACTTACACGGGCAAAGAGGGGAGACTCTCCACAACAAATAACAACATTTTGGGAAGATTACAACTAGTAATCTTAGTTCTTGTAATAGAATTTTTTTAACCTTACGTTTTGTAGTGAAAGTGATGTAAGTGATGTTGTGATAATAATAAAATGTTAGGAAAAAAATAGCAACATTTTGAGAAAACAAGTGTAAATTTCAGTTTACTTTGACCTCATCTGACACTTCTGGCAACCCTTTCTACCATGTTATTTTGTCTGTTGTGAGTCCAGTTGGAGTTTGACCCTGTGTCACACTTATTTTGGAACATGCTCTTAGCTCGTGGTCTGCCTGCAATTTTAGTTACCAGCTCCAGGGCTTCTCTCCACTTTTTTGCAAACCTGGCAGACACTAGTGTGGTAATTCCTTTTTACCGAAGTTTCACAAAGTTCTCAAATGATTTCATTCAAGACTTAAGCAGCTTAAATCATTTCAAACACCACCTAAAGAGTGTGAAAGAGAAAACTAGGGAGCTTGAAGAACTTGAAGTAAATCCTTTGAGCCAAAATTATTTTGCCTGGTGAGGTGGACTGCAAGAGCAGATTATTACAAAAATTATTTTGATTGTTCAGTTTGCTTGATTGGCCCTGAAAAAACATGTATATTTGGAGTCCTCACTAATTGTGCAATACAGAGAACAAAATTACATCATTTTCAACACTTAAAAAACTGATTTTGTGTCAGTCATGACTCACACAGAGGTCATATATAACTCATAAAAAATAAAATCATACAAACCTTCGGCTTCGGCTGATAACCCCTACCTTGACCTTGATTATTCTTGATATCACAAAAACCGAATCTAATAATTGTTTTATTATACACTGAACGAAAAAAATGGAAGTCATCTTTTTGCTTCTTCACTGACAGCAAGCACCACAAAGCGTGCAAACTTGACATGATTACCTGTGACCTTGAGTGTCCTTGACACGATTAATGTATAATCTGCAGAGATGAGGTCACAGGCCCTGATTTCGAAAATTCACGGTACGCTTTCGACCAATCAGAAAAGAGGTAGTGAGTTCAATGTATAATAATAAGCTGACTTATCTCCTTGTTTACTGTTTACCCACAAAATCCATTCTAACAGTTTACGAACTAAATGGCTTACTTTTAGCTACTTACTGACCAGAGCAATAGTGAATACCATATTGACACCCTCTTATTAAGTGTAGTTCAGTTGAAAACGTTTTGCCCACTGGTGGAAACAAAATTTGCAGTTGCCTTCCTACTAAAAATGTCAATGAAAGTCCTACAATTTAGCTTCCAACTGGGGTCAAAAATATGAACAGCCATTTGCTCTTGCAAACCATTAGTTATGAAGACCATCCTGGTGATTAAGCAGCTTACGTGATGACTTTGGTATTGAAGCCCAAGTGAATCGCAGAGAGCTCAAATTCACCCTGTAAAACTCTTTCTTCCACTTGCATTTACTTCTACAAGTTGCTTTTCAGTTTGAAGAAATAAATGTTACTTATGATAATGTAAGAACAAGCCACAGAAGAGCACATGAAAACAGAAAAACGCCAAAATGTCTTACCTTGCAAGACACTACTGCAACCAGATTTTCATCATGCTTCTGAACACGTGATCTGAGATTGTGATTTTAATGTATGATGGGATACTCAACCAGACATGACAATATCACGGGCGTGAAATTCTGAAAAATTAGAAACGGGGACAACTGGAAGGAAAATTTCCAGAAAATCCAGAAATCGTTGACTTTCCGAGAAGCAAACCATTCAACCGAAAATTCCGGAAATTCTGGGATGCAAGTGAAACGGAACAGAAATTCCTCACATTTCAAGGAAAGTATGGCCGAATGAAATCTGATGTCCCCGAACGGGTGTCACGAAAACTCAGACTCCGAAAACTCAGACCTCAGACCCCGAAAACTCAGACCTCAGACCTCGAAAACTCAGACCCCTCGAAATTGAAAGAAAAAAAAGATTTAAACTCGTCTAAAGTGTTATCACCTGAAATGTGTTATGGTCACACAATGTTCATCTTCGGGGTTTTCGTTTTCGGGGTCTGAGTTTTCGTGACACCCGTCCGCGAACCCGTCATATGGAGAGGGTACTCCAGGTGAGGGAAGTTCCCGTTGGGGGGGGGGGGGGGT